AAATCTTTTTATTGAAAAGTCAGAGGTAGAAACAATAAATCATCATCATGGTTATCAAAAACTTTTTGTTTTTCATACTTCATATACACTCAAAAACCACCTCCATCCCTCCCCCCACCCATTATTATAGTAATAATAATGGATCAAAAGAAACCGTACCAGCAGTAGATTTCAGTTTTTGTTTAAAGAGAAAATGTTTGTGCTAAAAGTGCTTCTTTGAGATGGATTAACACTTGGAACAAATTAAAAGTTCAAAACTAAGTATTATGCCGTTTTCTCTGTTGTAATCGCTCCTCCTCTGATGGCCAGCTCCTACAGTTGATCTTTGACCTTAAACTAGCTTTTCTCTCTCTTTCTATCATCTACACTGGTTCTGATTAGATCAGATAAATGGGCCAGAACTACTTCATAATGATGGAAAGACAGTGTTGCCAGTGTGTCTGTTTAGGCCTCTAGTGGTGGCACAGTCAGTTGGATAATTATCTTTGTTGGATATCACAAAATACAAGAACAGAAGAAAAATATTATCAGCAAAATACTTGTTTGCATTACTAAGATGTTTTCTAAAAGCTGACCTGGTTTTCACTTAAAGCCCAGAACTCTCCAGAACAGCTACAGGAATTCAACCAAGCTCCAAATGCATCAGCAGGGAGTTTGTTCAACTCATCAGAGGCGTCTAACAGATTTCCATTAATAAAATCAATAGCAGCTGTTCAAACCCTCCTGCGGCATTGTTTTCTGACTGGTAATTAGCTCCATTATCCAATCCTTTTCCAAAAGCATCCAGGAGAAACCTGAAGAAAACTGTTAAAGCATAACTGGGTGGAGATTGTTCACTCTGGATGAAAGCATTTGTGTTTTTGTTTGCTTTTTTTTATTTTCAATTAGATTTCATCTTGGCTTTTGAAGTTGTTAAAAACTAACCATTTAAAAAAAGTATGTTTGAATTTAGAGTAAAAAATAATTTTACATTTTGTTAAGACAACAGGAAGTCTCTTGGTAAATACCATCAGTCAAGCTGTCATGTTCACTCTTTTAAAGCGGATGGCTTAGTTTGTTAGTTTACTGTCAGGGTGAAGACAATCATAGTAACATTTGCTTTGCTATTACTTGTTTTATTAAAGTCTAGCATCATAAAGTATGTCTCGGTCAGATTAAAAGAAATGACCATTTAGATTTCATAGTAAAAATTACAAATACATCTCTCCTTTTTTCCTTCAAGTTAGAGCCTTTTTCTGATTTGGATCCACTAATATCTATAAGAAATATCTATATAACCTTTATCTCTCAAGTTATTACAGCCCTGGCTGCATAGAATTGAATAAAAACAGCCTTTATCATCCTTCAGTTAAGAAATTTTGTTATACCAGCAGCAAAATTAAAGAGTTAAAGACCTAAGATTCAGACAAAGAAAAGTAAAATATATATTATAAAAATCTGAATTTTAGAAATGAAAAAACTGTATAGTCACTTTAAGAAGAATATTTCTATTTTAGGAAGTCTGCACCTGAGTAAAGACATTTAAAAACAGATAAGATTTTCATAACAAAAACAAAAACTTTCATGTGCAAAGGTTCCCTGTTTGTTTTACATGTTTGCAGACATTATGTATAATGTACTGTAAACATGCTTGTTTTTCTGATTTTCTTATTTCAAATGTATCTGCAACAATTGATTGAGAAATATTTCTCAGTATTAGACAGCAAGTAACAGAAAAATAAGTAATTCATATAATTGGACAAGGTATCTTGTCTCAATAGCCATAGTGCTGATCATTGAGGAGAATTGGCAAGAATACTCTACAAGGGTTTAGAACAAAATATGTCATCCTCTGGTTTACATTAGCTGATGCTTTTACCAGACAATTTTTAAAAGTCAGAGCTAAAAGAGTAAAATCTTGTAGGGTACCGATTATACCTCAGCACATCCAATATAAAAGGGATGGTGAGATCTTCCAGGAATTAATTCAGCCAAACAAAGCTGTGTTTACTTACTTAAAGTAATGTGATGCAGTGCAATGCTGTAGTGACTTTTCTATTGAATCAAGTAACTTAGGGTGTGAACACGTCCAACTGTGTAGTAGGACAACTAGTGAAAATGTGATTAAAGTTTAAGGTATGGTAAATTAAATATACGCACATATAGAAAAAAATCACAACTACGGTTCAAAATATAAGAATTTATCGATACATTTCTTAATTAAGCTAGAGAAACTTAATTAAAGCTATATAGTTACTATGCAAGCAACTAAACATGCAAAGATGCAGGTCCACCAACATAAGTAACTCCTCAAGAGGAAGTCTTTATAAAAAGAAAGATCTAAAATCACAAGATGTAATTCTTTCCCAGTTGTAACGTTGATTTTCTCTATTAGCAGGTCAGGAAGGCAACTGAGTGAGGTGTTTGTGCAGCTTCCATCCAGGAAGGAGCTCCCTGAGTACTATGAGCTAATCAGAAAACCTGTGGACTTCAAAAAGATCAAGGTTTGTTAGCTAAGATGACCCCAAAGTTATGAAAATGAAGGTGACAAGTGTTTTTGTTTAGTCTTGGCATATGCAGCAAACTCTGTGATACCAGACAATTTCCACACAATGGATTAAATGATTACTGTGCTGATGCAAAATATATTAGGACTCATTAGAGATCAGGTTAGCAATTATTTTATATCAGCTTTTATGGATGCTTTAAGCTTCATTGATGCGAGAGAATAACAGCTTTTCTTACTGGTATCAGGAGCGAGTGAGAAACCACAAATACCGAAGTTTGGGAGACCTGGAGAAGGACGTGATGCTTCTCTGTCAGAATGCACAAACGTTTAACCTGGAGGGATCCCAGGTATGAACTCACTTCTTGTTTTTTTCTTTCTTTCTTTCTTTCTTTTTAGCCTAAACTTTACAGTTTCTGATTTGATTCTAATTGATCTATCATTGTGAGCAATTTTTTCCAACGAAGTCTGCAGTTTTCCATCTCTTGAAGCAAACTTCTCTTTGAACAAGTCCTACTTTGGGAACCTTCATCTCCTTATTCTACTTTTTTCAGTGGTTTAGCTTTCTGCGGCGGAGAACCACATCTTTCTCCGCTTTGACAGTTTTGTGCCTTCCTGTATGTTTGGTGAAATCAAAAGCGCTTCTCCAGCAAAAGTTATCAGTAGAATCCAACCAAGCCCCTCTTCCTGTTTGGCTTCAGTTTTTGTTGGCAAATTATTGTCAGGAAAAATGAATGCAGTTTCAAGATTAGGACATAAAGTTGAGAACCAAATTCTTCTGTTTCATTTTTAGTTTGCTGATTTTCAATGCTTTTGGATGATCTGATAGTTTTCTTTCTGGTCTAATATTTGAATGCAGGCTTAGAAACAGTTGATAATCAATTAACTTAATTTAGGTGCTCCTCAAGTGATCTATTCAGTAGCACTTTAAACTGATACTCAATGGTTTTAAATGTTCAGTATTTAATAAACAAGTGCTTAAATGAGGCTGTAATTATATATTACTGTGTTGTCGTTTTCTTCTTGATATCGACTTCTGGACCAAATGCTTCCCTTATGGCCAAGCACCTTGTTTCGATAGTACTTGGGTTTGACCAGTTTGTCACTACTTTTGATACTTTCTGATCCTTGAATTACTAATCCCACCACCCCCGTCTCATATCCCATTACTCTGTTTCTGGATTGTTGGAGAAAGTTGCACTGGGAGGACTGTTGAGCCCTCTTCTGATTTCTGTCGTCTCATTGGGCAGAATAGAGATGGAAAGCACCCTCATACATTGATGTTATCAGGATGCCTCATCACACAGGACTTGTAACTCCCAACTTTTAAGGTTCTCAATAAAAAACATTTCCCAAACAATCTAGGGGAATTTGCCAGAGAAACTCAGAGCTTTATTTTGCCTTCCAGTCTACTGGTTTCTGTTTGTGCTATAATTATTGGACGAAGAGGAAGTTCTTGCTCTTCCTCTCATCACGCTAGCACCCTGTTTACTAAAACCAGGGCTATTGGATGTCTTTAGCTTTTTTTAACAGCAGTAGAATCTCTCATCTTGAACACCATCCTGAAAACTGTGATATCTTTGATACCAGTTTCTTTACATCTTATGGCATTTTCAAAGTGAATGTCGCTTTAATGGCAGCAGATTATTTTGCACTTAAAGGGAAAAAAAAAATTTATAAAATTACTTTGAGTTGAATGTGACGTTTCCTGCTTTTGAAGTGCTTTGGTAGACATTAATATGTATCTCATTTCTTTGCACCAGCGTAATTTGGATCGTTTTTGAACCCGTTTTGGGGGATTTGTACGTTTCTATACAGGTTGCATTCATTATTTGATAACACATGGAGTAAAATTAGTTTTCTTCCACATTTTACTGTCCAAAAATTTCCGCTTCAGCCTTCTGGTTTAAAAATGATCCTTCGTTTCTAGAAATTGTTGGTTACAGCTTCTTTTCAATCATCTTTTTTCTTTACACACCAGATATACCAGGACTCCATTGTTCTTCAGTCAGTTTTCAAGAGTGCCAGACAGAAGATTGCCAAGGACGAAGACAGTGAGGATGACAGCGATGAGGAAGATGATGACGACTATGACTCAGAGGCTGAGGGTGAGATGCACTCTTTAAAAAAAAGGCAGAGAGCAAATCAACCTTGTGTCTAATTCATGTTCACAGCTGGAAGGTGAGTTCATGCTGCTCAAAGCCTCCCCAAAGAAAACACTGTGCTGCTGTGGCCATCGAACTGTAGCAGAGAAAAAATTAATAATGTGAGACAATATTAGTGGGGAAAAAAATTAAAAGGATAAAAAAAGCTTGAGTAAAAAATAAAAGTTAAAGTATCTGAACTCTTCAAGATGCATAGCCAAAAAGTCAATGAGGTATTTCTTTTATTCGTCTACAGCTGAAAGGCTTTCAGTTATCTTTGAGTTATCTGATAGCTACATAGCTCGTAAAAAAGGCAGTCAAAGCAGATACATCTCTGACATGTGCATTCAAATGTGAGTCATCGCTTTCTAGCATGACTTGACATTAGTTTGCACTTCAGACCACCTTTGATACATCTGATCTCTGGAAGTTTGAACTCAGCTTAGTTTCCGTTCATGTTGCATAGAAGCTGTCTGAATATATGACAGAGTAATTAGATATGTCTTTTTTTCTTCAATCTCTCTCTTATCCTACAATTTTGAATGTAAATTTGTGTCTTCAGCTAGTATGTAATTACTTCATCAAGCTGTGTCCATTCGTGTCATTGTCTGGGCAGCAGATTTTGAAATAGACAATAAAGTACTGTGAAATTTGTCCCTAAGATTTCTTCTGAATTTGCTTTTCTATCTCACATATTTCCTTTATATTGTCAAAAAATAGTAAGATCAGTTTTCCCAGAAGGGACTTCCGAGGCCAGACCCCCATCTGGTTATAAATAAACAAGGATGCATGTCCCACATTGACCCAAAATATGTTGTAATAATCTATAATGCCACGTGTTAAATATTCTGCAGAATGATGAGATTGAAGAAGAACCTTCTGGAAGATCTGCATTCAACTACCTTTGTCTTAAAGCTAACAGCGATTTTAGAAAATATTGGTGCTCATTAAATATACTAGTGGGGGAGAGATGTTGTGGAGATGCTTTATGGTCCAGTTCATCCACATGTTTGCTTTGGATATCTTCCTCCTCATCAGTTAAATCTTAAATTGAAGGTATTTTTCTTTATTTATGCAGGATTATTTTTAAAAGAAAAATGTTTAGTTGTCTAGAAAGTAGAAATGTGTAAGGGAGAAATTGTCATTTTACAGTCCTGTCCATTCACCTCCTTAATATGCTTTTTTATTACATAAAGTTTTAAAAGTTTGTATTTCCCTGAATCTTTATTGTTCTATATTTACACATGTAGCCTAGACCAGCAGACGGAAGGTAAACATCTAAAAGAAGGCGCAGACTTTCCTTTCAGTGTTCCATATTTGCTGGACATTGATCTCTGACCACAGAAACTCTTTAAAATCTTCTCTGAGCACACATGGGAGCAGAAACTTTCAGCTGTTTTCATGTTAAACCTGCCTCTGTTTTTTCAGCTAAGTCTGTGCGGGTGAGGATCAAGCTGGGCAGGGAGGGACGCAGCCACGACAAAGGCAAGAAGAGGCAAAGCCGCGGAAAGGCCAAGCCGGTGGTCAGCGACGACGACAGTGACGACGACCAGGATGATAACGTACGTCTCTCACATGACATTAAACTGAGATGTTGTCATCCATGGTAGACCAAAATCACTGATTTTTCAGCCAAACCAAAATAACATTTATTAAAAGGGCAAAATAAATGAAATATAAATACAATAAATTAAAGGAATGGATAATTATAAAAAGGTTAAAATCGTGCTCATAATCCAGTTCACTTTCTATTGGCTTTACGTATTCCATCCCATACTGGCTGATTGTGGCTCACAGACCAGTTGAGTCTTTATGATGTTTGATCAAACCAAAATTACTTACTGGAGTCATTTTAGCCATGTTTTCTTTTATTAGACCAGGAGTAGTTCAAACTACATCATTTATAACCGTTTGTCAACACAGGAACAAAGCGTCCCCTTGTCAGGCGTGTTATATTTTAGGGCGGAGGTCTTCAACAGGGGATCCGCCACCCCTAGGGGTCCAAGGAGGTACTGCATGGGGTTTAATGAAAGTTTTGGTTGATTAAACTTTTTTTTTTTTATATTCCCCCCTGCAATTTTTTCCTCTAATGGAAATGTCTTTAAATACACATTAACATGAATTCAACAGACTGTAGTAAACTGATAAATGGAGCCAGTCATCAATGCACACATTCAGCGACACACAGGAGCTTTTTCAAGCTGGCCACCGTTTCATTCACAACACCTGTCCCATCAACCAGGAATCAGAATCAGAAATACTTAAAGTAATTACTTTTATTACATTACTCCATCTGTAATAGAGTGACTACAGGACCAGTTTGATATAACACAATTTCATACAGTATATATAATTAGGGGGTCCCCGCTCCATCTCGCAATCAGTTTGGGGGTCCTTGGCCTGGCAAACATTGAAGCCCACTGCTGTAGGCCATTGTTGGAAGGAAAAATCCCCTGAATAAATCTGGTTGTATGATCTGGTTGAATTGTCTCTGTAAAGCGCCTTGAGATGACATGCGTTGTGAATTGGCGCTATATAAATAGACTGAATTGAAACTGAATTGAATCTCCTGATGGCTTCAGTCTTAAAAAAATAAAAAAAAACAAATTTTTCAATTGGAATATTTATTTTGCTTGTTAATGAGGAGCCAATCACAGAATATTAGCAATTGTGATAAATAGATAATTGGAATAATCTTCTGGTTGTTTAGTAATCTTAAAGTAATCTTAATCTTAGGTATAAACATGCAGATTTGTATAGGAAATATTGAGAATCTGTTAACATCTCGGATTTTTTATTTTATTTTTCCCAGCGTTTTATTGTCATTATACTTTTGCAAGTACAGAGCAATGAAAGGAACTCCCTGGATTTAACCCGTTCCATTTTGGGGAGCAGTGGGCTGCCATTGTGCGGTGCCCGGGGAGCAGTGTGGGTTTAAGAGTCTTGCTCAGGGACCCAGAGTGGCATTCTGTGAGAGTGGGGTTCGAACTCAGGACCTCAGAATTCCAAGCTCTATGCCCTAACAACCAGGCCGCCACTCCCCCCGCCACTAGAAAGCTGGATTTTGTTTTATTGTAAAAAAAAGCAAACTAAAAAACAATTTTGTATCTTCAGCTCCAGTTTATTTTACTGTTTTTAGATTGTTGCCTTTATAGAGAGAAACTGAGCAGGAGGGTTAAATCTCCTTTTACCAAAATGTAGCACACTGTCCTGCAACAATAAATACTTAAGGTGACTGAAAATTCCCAAGCAGCCTCTTATTGTTCACCTCTTGTTTATTTAAACTAATAAAACGGAAAGGCAACTTTAATGATGTACAGCCTGCATTTTAGTGTTTTTTGGATTATCTTTGCCACTTTAGCTTAAAACAAAAAAAATAACATAATAAAGCTAATTAAAATAAGAGGCAGTGTCACATTGGAAGAGGAATGAAAGGATCCTGACATTACCACTGACAGCACAAGGGATTATGGGATCAGTTGGAGGGCTCCGCCTTGATTATTTCTTTTCAAAATGACTAAGATCCATTTTTCTGCTTTGATTTGAAGCCTTTTCTGTGTTTTAGAGGAAGAGTAAAAATGAGATCTCCATACGTCTGCAGCAGACGGAAAAGACAAAACAACTTGTTTTATCTGTATGCTGATGCTGTTTTGTCCCTGCAGAGTGTTTCTGTCTTTGATGGCAGCAGTGAGATGGAGGTCTGCTGCGTTTTATTACCGAATGTCACTGCTTCGCTATAATACGTTTTAGTGTTGGACTCTCTGGGATGGTCTGAGGGACTGAGATGTATTGGAACTACAAACCTTTCATTGTGTTGCCTTAACTTGTATTTTCTATCAACAATCTCCACCGGTAGCAGAAAGTTACTATAAAAACAGAAGCAAAGAAAAGCAATCAAATCTTCAGGGTTTTTTTGTTTTCAGTCACTGCTGCAAGCAAAAAAACAATGTGTCCATCCAAGGGTACTACAGCCAGATTAATAAACACCAGGTGTTCAGGGTCGACCCAGCAATGCTGTGCTGCTCGAATCCACTCCAAAAACACGGGGTTACACTTCCTGGGTCTTGATTTTGATTAGCTATCCAGAATTCAAGGATTTTGTGCAGTGTTGTGTAAAGCTTTCGCCTTATACGGTTGGGATTAATCCACATCCTGCTCCACATTTTCTTTTTCCCCGACCAGACATATTTCCAGCTAAATCTGTGCCTGTTTCACTTTGAATTGCACGTTAAGTAACTCATACCCAAAACCACACCTCATTTTCATAACAAAAGCAGAACAGAGACGCTTTAATCTAAATCAAACCTCAGTATCTCCCGGAGGCGATGAGATTTCCCACGTTAGCTGTTAGCTTCTGTAACCCTGACGGCGGCAGCGTGTGTTTTGTAGTGACAGCGCTGATACTGAGCCGGCGGGCGTGTGAAGCCCTGATTCGGCTGAGCTGTTTACATTGACCTTCACTGAGTGGCCCAGAGCTCCACTAGGCTGAATATAAATGTAGAGGGTAATTTTTAGTCTGACCTTGTACATTGTGTCTCTGTACAGACTCTGGACTGCTCTTTCCTCATTTAAGGCTTTTTCAGACTTTCCGTTTAAGGTGACCTGCGTTGCCTTTTGCTTTTTCTCCTTACAGAGAAAATAACCTTTGTCACACACTTTTCTTTTCTTTTCTGCACTTTTAATCTTTCATTCTCTTTCTGCAGGATCAGTCGGACAAGAGCAAAAGTGACGAGGACTGAGGAAGACCAGCAGCAGCAGTGTGAAGATGATGTTCGTACAAAAAGGACAATATCTTCATTTTCTATCATTAAGCTTCTTTCTGTTTTCTTTGTATTTGTCCTCTCTGTCTGACTGTAGTGTGTCTTTTCTTTTCCATCAACTTTAAAATATATTACTAATCAATCAGTAACCACAGCAGAACCAATCAGCTTATTATGTTTTTAAGAGTTTTCTAGTATATTTTTTAAGTCTGTGCTGATATAAGGCACAATAGAAGTTCTATATAGAAAAAATGCATTTGGTCAAACTATGAATTCTTCATTATAATATTAATATCCCCATTATTACAAGGCAACTGAATACAAGTTGATGTATTAGCAACATATATATACAGATTTGTTTTTTTGTTGATAGGGAATAATACAGTTATACCTTTTTTTTTATTCTTTTTGCATTATGATGCACAAAGTGGTAAAAATGAAAAATTAGAGATAAAGGTCCTGTATATCCTATCCGCAGCAACTTCAATGAGGCATTTGTAAAAGAAATTGGGGAAGATAAAACTGTTCTCCCAGTTTTATGGGTTGGTGGCTTTGGAGGAAAACAACAATATTAACAATGGCAGTTTGATTGGCCCTGCTAGGAACACATTGCAGCTCCCACTGTGTGTTAAAAATGATCTAATTTGCTAACAAAGTGCATTAATTGGTGATTATTAATTTTGCTCAGTAGTCAAACCTTCAATTATTGTTGAAGTCAATATTATAAATACATTCTCAAACAAATTATGCAGTGAAAAAAGCAGGTTTTAGTTAGTTTTATTGTTCCATATTACTAAATTAAAAACTCTTTTGTTACTGCTCATTGAGGGCCTGCAGATTTTTTTTTTTCACATCATCACATTGAAACTATTTAAATATCAGAAAAGGAACACCTGAGTGAATAGAGCGTTATTCCATTACGGATGGTTTTCTTTTATTAAAGGTGAATAGTTCCAATAGTCTCCCACTGCTCCTGTACAGATCTTTTTTTTTTTTTTTTTTGCAGGCGTAATGTAATGAGGTGTAGGAATGTTTTAACGCTGATAGAGCCAGGTGGACGACAGCATGTAATGCGTCACACACACACGAACACACACGCAGAGAATCCATCTCTCATGAGCTGAGTATTGGAGCCTAGAAATGCAGCTGCAGTAAATAGAGTAAACCTTATTTTAAAAGTCGCATGCTTGTAAAGGCATGTATGGAATAGAAGAAATATTATTTAACTTTTTAACCTGAGCAGTGCATCTTTAAGTGATGGTTATCCAAAACACCTGCATATAGAGGCAGAAACAAATCCCCCGAAAGACCTCAGGAGAAGTGGGGTGGTGTCTAAAAAAAATTTTCTTATTCCTCTGAAGGATTTATGCCTTCTCTTTTTTTGCAGAATTGTTTAATAACATCCCAGTTCCATTCAGGCTTTGACTAGCCTTCTTTAATAATTGATTTTTGCGTCTGTGCTGTGGATGCTTGCAGGTAGAGGTGCGCTGATCCAATGCTTGGATCGGATATCGGCTCTGATATTAATTAGCTGGATCGGATATCAGATGAACAATGCAGCCATTTCTATTTTTATTGATATCACACACAGCAAGACAGTCACAACAAATGGTCACTTATATTTAATGATTAGAACATTTATACTTTTTGAGCTATTTCGAATGCCCCATCTGGTTTTCATCCCTATACCCTAAGGGTTATTGATATCACACATTAATACAGTCACAGTGATTTAGTGACTTACATTTAATGATTGCAACTCTGATTATGTCATTGCATGGAGCACACACATAGCAAGCATGATGCCTTTACACACATTGCTAAGAATACTGTACGGATAATTTGCTCAGCCTGTGTATCAGTATCGGATTGGATCAGAAAAATGTATTGGTGCATCTCTACTTGCAGTAATACGACAATGAGGCATGTTATATTTCACATAGTGCCAGGTTGATCTGGATAGATTTTAATAGATCAAATCATTTCAAAGCTTTTTCGTTTTCTCTCTGGCTGTTGTTTTCAGACCCAGTGTACCATTCCAAGTGCTTCAAGTGCATTTGTTTTACAGTAATTGAAAGCAGTGATGTTATTTTGAAGTTATAATTTAGTTTCATTTGTTCCATTTTTTTTGTTTATTATCGAAAGAAAGGTTTTCCTGAAAAATTATTAGAGTGCAATCCTTAAAATTCAACCATTTCCACACTTAAACACTGTAAGAGATTTAAATCTCCAGTTACAAACACATTTCAGCTTCTTATTCAGATACTAATATAGAATTAGCCTTAAATGCTGGTATTAGCTTCTGTTTAAATTAATGTGGATTAAACAAAAGAAAGTTATTAAAGGCTAGATGGCGGCGACAAATGCAGACCAATGTTTTGTTTTCCTGAGGAGCGACATAGACCGATGGTAAAGACCACTAAACGTTCAGTCTGATGGAATATCTGAACTAGCTTAAACATAAAAAGTCATGGAAATTCTTAGTTTTTACTTCATGATCAAATATATATATGTATAATTGCACGCCATTTTCCAAATGATTAAGATCTTTTGTTTTTTTCTAATGAGGAGTTTTTAGATCACTGTAATGTGATTTACAGGAAGTAGCTCATTTAAATTGGTTAAAGTAGCATCTTTAAGGAAACAGGCGCTGCATAAAACAACAGATAAACAACTTCTTGCTGTTTTCTGATTATTTTTAAAGACGATGGAAATTAGAAATTTTACAAAAGACGAAAAAAAAAGCAAACTTTCAATACATTCTAAACAGATTTTAATGAACAATATATTTTTAAGTGTACTGATGTATTCATCTAGTTTCATATGTGTGTGAGTTAGTTTTACTGTCTCCCTCCAGCGTTTTGTGTGTTTGTAGCATGAACTCCTGAAGAATATACCGTGCACATGCAGAGTCATCCTTACTGCGTGTGTAACGTCCCCACCAGCTCTCCGAATAAGCCGGATTTCATTTTTGCTTTCTTTGCACAGTGTCCTTGTGGTTGTAATCTCATAGCCCCGAGCAAATAAATATCAAATGATTTTCTGCGTAAAGATGTCCTCTTGTTATTATGTTTAATATTATGTGATCTTTTTGTGTGTGCATGCCAAGTTCAACACAATCTTTAAAAAGTTAAACCCCACTCTTATCACATTTGGCTCTTATCTTCTAAAGTTGTTCTCTGCAGGTTGCCGTTAAGATGTGACTTTTGAAAGCTCTTTATCTGATGTATTTTCCTCAAAAGCCTAAATATTTGTGTCCTCTCCTGTTTGTTCATAGACTGGGCAGAAAATAAGCAAAACTGGCCTCTACGGTCGAGAAAAATGGAAACACCTTTAGGAAGCCTGAAAAAATATTGAGCAAAACATTTTTTAAATGGAGATTAAACACATATACAGTTCCATAAATGACAATGTCCTTAAAAGTTTATTCCAGTAATTAGATCCAAAGGGTGACAGAGTGACATATATTTAAAGTTTTTTTTTTTTTTGCTAAAGTCCAATTGAAATCAGTTTGTTTGTAGAGCACTAATTCACCACACGTGACCTCCGTTACACCAAGCATGCTTGTAGTGACAGTGGAGAGGAAAAACACCCTTTTAACAAGAAGAAACCTCCAGCAGAACCAGGCTCAGTGTGAGCGGCCATCTGCTGAGGCCGACCGGGGTTCAAGGAGACAGAAGCAGAGATACAAAAGGAAACTGTCAACCAGCTCCACAGTCGCCCTTCCAGGAAACACACAGCCAGGTAGACCAGCTCTGAGCCTCGCTCCTAGCTCCCATGTCAGTGGATGAAAGAGAGCACTTACAGTTAGTCACAGTCAGAGAAACTGGACTAGACTGAAAAACAGGCCAAACTCCAGAATCTATAGTAAAGCTGTGATTGTCTGTGATTGTTTCGCTGTATAAAATTACACGATCCTAGTGGATTTACAAATTACTTATTATTACCGTAGGATATAAAGGAGGTCTGCCAATTAAGATGGCTGTTCCAAAGGTCTCTTTATCCAACCATGTTAATAAAAAGGGGAGTGGAAGGACAAAGTGTGAAAGAAAAAGCTGCAAAAACTTATTTAACTCAATGGATGGATTGAGCCCATTCAAGAGTTTTGAAGGCTATCCAGAATCAGCACAGCAGATTTCCTTTTTTTACCCTGGATAGTGCTCTTACTGTTGACTTCATGAAAGGCGGAGGAGGAATAGGAGCTAGTGTTTGCTGTATTTGGACAAAAGGATGGTGTCTCTTAGTGGCTGAAGAGAAACAGAATTGGACTCTTTATTAGTCCAAAGTTTTCTTTTTTAGATTAATATAAGTTTTATACTTCTAGATTAAGAATCTCAAGTTTTTTTTTTTTTTTTTTTTTGGTTTTGTTCATTCTATAAAATGTTGTACTCTTTATTTTCAAGTATTTTTGATTTTCTTTGTTTTGAAAGACAGGGTAATATGGAAAAAAAGTAAAAATATTTGCAAACAAATGGGAGCAAAAAGAAAATAAAAAGTGTGTACAGTTTTTAGAGCTCTTCATGCTTCCCCATGCTGAGAGGTTTTATGAAGATGCTGATTTACATTTTTCTCCCCCTACCTTGACCTGGCTCCTAGAGTATAAAAAATACCCAACACCTGCTTTAATGAGTATCACAGTAACACTTTCCCTCAGCAGGCAAACAAACACATCAAGAGGAAGATTAGACACCTGAGTGGAGCTGACGTCTGCTCTTAGGCAAGCTGGGTTTCCTGAAGAGCTCATCAGAACCACAGGCCAATCCCCTCTAGGTCTCATTTCAGGGACGCCCTCATTTATGCAAAACCAAGTCCTGATCTCTGTTTGAGTGCAGATACCGTAAGGTCCATGGATACTCTTCTAAGTAGACTCACATTGGTGTAATGTATAATTACACACCTATTGATGCCTTTTATGATATAAGTGATGGAATGACTTTTTTTCTGGATACAAATTGGCCCAAAAAGTTACTTCTGATTTTGTAATTAGTTTCATATTTTGAGATTATTTCCCTTAATAATCACTGAAATAAGAGATATTTCTAATGAGTTTTATTGTTTCCTCTGCTGTGTCTTTGCCCTTTCACTGTTCTTCACGTCTCTGCGGCTGCACTGTCCAGTCCAAACACCGGAGGGCAGAAGAAGTGCCCTCACACTCCACAGCACATCAAAACCCATCCTTTTTGTATCCCTGCCATTTTAAACAGAGCTTCACTAAGCCAATTCCCCTCAAGAATGACCGTCCACCGCTTCCTTTTTATCCACCTCTTTGAAGTGCCGAGTTGTTGGTACAGACTTGAGCCCAGGAAAAGATGAGCAAATTGGATGTTAATCCTTGTTTGAGCAGCAGGGATGTCAGGTGCCAGGGCCCATTCCTGCTATTCCTCTGTAGCCTTTGTCTATGGCTTCACCATAGGGGCTCTGAAAAACTCCAAGTAAAATCTGGGCTTTATTTTTCCTCCTGATGACTCATGGATTGCGATCTGAAAGGGCCAGGTGTCCCTCTGTTATTAAAGAGTCCAGTTTGCTTGGTGCTGTAACCCGTCTCCATTCAAAGGTGGGAAGCGGGCCCTATCGGTGCTAACGCTTGCACAGCTTAAAAGGAATGCTGGGAAAGGGCTTTGTATCCCTTTGGATTCCAGGGTTCACTACCAGTTTAACGCATGATCGGGGAAAATGCTTTTTCTGTTTGCAGCTCTGAGACTTTTAGATCAGAGGGAAGCTGAGGATTCGTGTACGAGCAGAGCATCATACCTGATCGTTAAAGTGAAAGCCGCCTTCACACCTTGACCCAAAGTCCTACGTGATTTTTATGATGAAGCAACAAGCAGCTGTTTTTAATTGATGCACATTTGTGTTATAAAGAAACCCTGAAAGCCCATCTGAAAGGCTTTTTAAGTTCAGTTCAGCACTTACTCTTTTTCATTTCATTGTAATTACCTGATTAAAACTGAAACTTCTATAAATTTAAAACCTGAACTTCTTCACCTCTGTTTATAGCACAAAATACAAAACCTATGGGTTTTTCCATGATAAATATTTAGCAATGGTATTTACTGTACTGCTACCAAACAGTCCCAGCACCTTTGGATAGAAAATAAATAAAATAAAAACATTCAAATAGCATCTTTCTGACAACATGAGGTAAGCATGAACGCTGTTACATCATGTCCTTTAGAGATCAAGAGTTTGCGATATGCTTTTTGACATTTTTCAGTCTGGAAGTGGTTAGAAAAGCACCAGCACACCTGGAACTGAGCAGAACCAGCCTGGGAGATGCTGGCTTATCAAACTGACTCCCAGGAGCGCATGGATGACCCATCCTCAAGGCCTTTCTTCTCCCAATCAGTCAGGAAAAGATTTAACAATAGAGACAATAACAAAGGAAAGAAGAGACTGACCAACCAAATATAACTCAACTTTAATTATAAAGCTCTTTAAAAAAACACAGATGCCACAAAGTGCTGTACATGTCAGGTAAAGGTAAATTTTTACAAAAACAACATAAATCTATAAAGGAATGAAACAGATGTAATCAAATGTATTGATTAAACCAAATAAGAACTAAACAAAGATAACATGAAGGTCAATCTCACACTTTTAAAAAAAAAGTATTGGGCCTGTGGGAAAATACTCAAGGGGTGGAATAAATGAAGGCTGTGCATTACATGTGACATAACTGACATAAAAGCTCATTAAAAGACAGAGAGACTGGCAATTAAACATGGTGGAAAGTTTCACTGGAGGGTGGCTAATCCATGAGATTAGATTTGAGTTTATATGCAAAATATGGTTTGGATTAAATCTAGATTTTAACATTTGTTTCTTGAAGAAATGCTCTTGGTGTTCAAGTCTCTATTCAGACAAATCGTATGTTTTATATGTCCTATTCTTTTTGGATTGTTAAGATTATTAATGCAGCTATTATATATAGAGGCCTCGCCTGGTTTGATGGTCTGGGACCTGGAAAACCAATCAGAATCATGAATTGTGGCAGGAAAGTTCTTTTTATTTACACAAAAAAAGCCAATTCGTTGGAGGCTAGTTCTTTAAAGTAACAAACAAATTATTATAAAGATAAATACAGTTATAAGAGCTTTTAACATTTGTAAAGGAAAACAAATATTTATATTCTACTCATATCTCTCTGAGGATTTGTTTACAAATGCAGCCATTGTTAGATGTGTCAGAGTCTGAATTTGATCATCTATAACTGAGTCTTCAGTTGAGGCAGCAATGGGAGCAACAAACAGGGACTCTTTCATGAATATGTAGAATGGATTGTTATTCTGGGGAAATCTTTGTTAGACTAAACATGTCAAGGACTCCGCTAGATCCGCTTTTACGCAAAGCACGTCCAGCAAGATGAGAAGTAAGCAGACATCAGCGGATCAATAGATGTAGCTTTGTTCTCTGGATGGAGGCGTAGAGAAGCAGTTTCATCAAAGATGCAGGGGGACATGTGGGTCCAGTTGAGACATTTTCAAAAAGAAATCTATTTCAAAGTGATGTACGAGGATGAAAAGTGTCTGGACTTTTTTCTGTTTTAAAGGAGGGAAAACAAGGGTAAACCTTTAAAAAGCAGAGCTTTTATAGCAGCAAGATTTTATACTGAAAACCAAGAGACATCTATCTTTTAACATTCTATATAAATATAGGGCCTCAATATCTGCCTCATGCAGCTTCTATAAAATAATATAAATTAATAATTGCATATTTTTTAGGTTTTTAGTCCACTCTATAAAGCTTGAAACTCAACGCTAATCCTGACATTTTGAATTGATAAATCTTCCTTTTGGGAAGCAAAACATCTTCAAACTTGGAAAAAAGTCCAGTGGAATTTGTTTTTTACTTTTTTGGAATGACTATGACCTGGATGACTGAGAATCTTCACCATAGGTTTATCAAAGTATAGTAAAATCTAAGTACTATTCCCCATGACTTTATGTTCACCTGGAGTATAGATCTGATGCAAAAAGATCTCCATCTTTGCTGCTCCTTAACAAAACTGACCCATATTTATTGGTGTGGGTCACTAAGCTGCCATAACAACCATGACTTTACAGC